ACTATGCTTTCTTCTCTGTGCATCCAAGTCTAGGGGCTATGGTGCGTCATCTACTGGTTCTCCTGGTCGCCAATCCGAGCGTTGCAGTGGTGGGCAGGAGGGGCTGACACAGGCCTCGGAAAAGACATAGCGAACACGCATACCACATTCATCGATCAACGCGTCCCCTCCCCCCAATGTTCAAAGTTGGCGGTGGGTCTGATGAGTTGCACTTCGGCCGCAGTCTCCCCCGCGCGTGCCAACTTTGAGTTTTGGGGAGCGGGGGAGTGTCCAATGACTGTTTCCCCCTACCGTATTCCAGCCCCACCAGCCCGGCCCCCCAGCTGGGCATTGGCCTCGCGGTGCCTAAGGGGGCACAGCACACATCCTCGCCCAAGGGTGGCACGTAAGCCGGCCGGCACGACCCAAGGCCATGCCAGCGGGGATAGGAAGCGGTGCATCGCCACGGGGAGGGCGGGCCCTGAGGGAAACGAGCCCAGAGGTTTTCCGTTCGCCGTTTCGGGCTCTCGGGGCCCTCCGCGGGCCATGGGACTGTCAGAGAGCGGCTCAGGATGAGGATCCCGCCCTGGGGGAAGGCCCCAGGGTCCAGGACCCGTTTCCCTCGGGACTCGTTGCCACCGTGCCGAGGTTGAAAGTGACCAGCGCCCAGCCCGATTCGCACTGAGCAGTGGTGTGCCAACTCCCGCCGCGCCTGGTAAACCGAGGGGCGGCCAGGGGCCCGAGACTCGGCCCCCGAGGGTGGCCTCTCGGAGCTGCGCGCTCGCTTGCGGGGTGCCCCCTCCGAGGGTGCAGTGCTCCTTTGTGGTGGGAGCACGGGCTCCCCCTCACTCGGCGGCGCGCCCTGGGGGGGAGGCTCAGGCGGCCTCAAGCTCCGCAGATCGCACCACGACGCTATTCCACCCCCAGGACTGGCCGCGCCCACCTCCTCCTGCTACTCTTCCTCTCCACTCCTCCTCCTCCTCCTCCTCCTCCTTCTCCTCCTCCTCCTCCTCCTCCTCCTCCTCCTCCTCCTCCTCCTCCTCCTCCTCCTCCTCCTCTGCCTCCTCTGCCTCCTCCTCCTCTGCCTCCTCTGCCCTGGGGCAGGCCCTCTCAGAAGGCTCAGGCGGCCTCCGGCCTGCGGAGAAGCTTGCTTTAGGCCTTCGCTGGAGCCGCGCGTGGCCTCGCGAAGGGCGCGGCGGGGGGGCTTCCGAGAGGCCCTGTCGCTCTCCGAGAGGAGGCGCCGGACACCCCGGCCGCCTTCCCGCCCCCCCTCGGGCGCGCCGCCGATGCTGGGTCTCTGGCGGTCTACAACCGGGGGCGCCAAGGAGGAGGAGGAGGAGGAGGAGGAGGAGGAGGAGGAGGAGGAGGAGGAGGAAGAAGAGGAGATGATGATATTAGGGGGGGGGGGATCTCATGGCGGGGGCCATGAGATCGCCCCAGACTTCATGGCGCCCCTTTCTTCTCTTCATACGTCTGCGCTCCCCCCCCCCCCCAGGCCGCGCACGTGGCGCCGGCCATGATTTGCTCCGCCCCCCCCCCTCTTGGACGCCCCCCTCTTGGACGCCCCCCGATACAAAGATTCTTCCCTCGGGATGTAGGCTTTTACCATGTTGACTTGTTCATGGTAGCCCGCTGGTGGATTTTCTTGTATTGCTTCTTCCTTCTCCCTCCTGGAGTCTGTTTGTTTATTCTTCTCTGGCTCTCTGGCGCGCAACGGTCGTCACCTGGGTCAACATCCCCCTTCCCCGGGGTAACAGTAACGATCGTGCGTGGAGGGGGGAGTCTGGACCTCAAACATGCTGGTGCTCGTGCTCATGTTTTAGTCATCGCAGCGCACACCCGCATCGACGTGCCCCACCCCGTCCAAGCGTTACCGTGACCCGGGGCCCCAACCCCCGGATAGTTAGCGACTGTTACCCGGGGGTAGGGAAGAAACACGCTGACCACTTGGAGCCCTTTCTCGAGGGAAAAACACACTGACCATGAGCACGATGTCGCGGATTTTTGTCCACGCCGCGCTCTCGGATATGGTCCATGCTGGCCGTCGCCGTTCCGCGAGGTCGATCCACGAATTTCTACGCTGACCAAGACGGACGGTGAATAAGATTGCCATGGTGTTTCCGCGCTCAGTATTCGTCGTCGATCGTCGATCGTCGATCGTCGTCGTCGATCGTCGACGTCGTCGTCGGCGTCGTCGTCGTCGCCGTCGTCGCCGTCGCCGTCGTCGTCGTCGTCGTCGTCGTCGTCGTCGTCGTCGTCGTCGTCGTCGTCGTCCGCGCTGTCGTCGTGGCGGTACCCTCCTCGGCGCCGCGCCGTCGTCGCCTCCGCCGCTGCCGCGGCGTGCCACGCGCCGGTGCCCCGATGCCGGGGCCCGGCGTCCTCCTCCACCTGGCCAGGGTGAGCCGTGAAGACGTGGAGGCGGCGATCAACAACCCGAGCGTGCGGAGCTGGATAGCGGCCATGGAGCTGGACTGCGAGGCCCCGTTCTGCCGCCGCCCCCCCGCGGCCGGTGAGTGGCCGAGCGCGGTCGGGAGGGGGGAGTCATCGAGGAGGAGGAGGAGGAGGAGGAGGAGGAGGAGGAGGAGGAGGAGGGGGAGGAGAATGAGGAGGAGGAGGAGGAGAAGCAGTGAGGAGCAGCGAGGAGGTTCTGGGAGGAGGAGGAGGAGGAGGAGGAGGAGGAGGAGGAGAGGAGAACGAGGAGGAGGAGGAGGAGGAGGAGGAGGAGGAGGAGGAGGAGGGAGGAGGAGGAGGAGAAGAGGGGGTGGAGGAGGAGAAACAGGAAGAGTATGGGTCGGCCCACCCCCGTCTCCCCCACCCCCCTCTTTCTCCCCCCTCTCCCCCCCTGAACTCCGCAGCCGCTGCGGCTCAAGACGTTAGACTCTGCGGTGGGTCAGGTGGATACCGCTGGTCCGCGGCAGAGCTCTCGCAGCCCGCAGCCGTCGGCATGGCGCAAGGAGTATCTTCGGTGCTCCGTGGTCCCAAGTGGCCGCACTGGGGGCTGTGGCAAAGTAGCGACGGAAGAGAGCGGGGTCGACTGCGTCGACATTGGCGCGCAAGTCACCCGCGTAAGGTCGCGCGTAAGCGCCCTCGTCTCCAATGTAGCGTGCCGCGCTGGCGGCCCGCGTAAGCCACCGCGCAAGGTCGCTATGTCATCTCGCGCAAGACCTGTATGTTTTCGTCGCTCACAAGTGTGGAAGAGTTTCGAAGTGGGCATGTCGGGTCCAACGTCTGTGCGGCGGCAGTGTTCATCATGAAGTGGTTGCAGCAGCGCGGGCAGCGGACAAGGCATCAACGGTGCCAAGCAAGAGCGTCGCAGGTGCAGGCTTGCGTACATCTTAGGCACCTTGGAAGCCACAGACGGAGTTCACGTATCAGATGGGACGGCGTCTCAAAGCTGCCGGAGCCGACTTCGAGAGGTCAAGGGCGGCGGCAATTCTTCCCTTGAAGAGCAGCAGCCTGCGCATGAAGGTCCCTCCCAGGCAAAGCGTGTGGTACATCAAAAGCAGACTCAGGTGTTCGAGAAGGTCGTCAAGGAGACCTCGGAGTTTGGCAGGCAAGTCCACGACGCCAGCAAGGCAGTTGTCAAAAAGCTTCGGCAGCAAGTTAAGGCCCTGCGGCCTCCTGCTACGGCGCGCGAGACTGCCACGCAGAAACTTGAAGTATGCAAGTTCCAATTTTCAAAGCAACAGGTGGAGCTCGAAGAGATGCAGCGCACGTTGGCGCAGATGTCGCAGGACATCGCTGACAAGCAGCTTGTTATCGTCGCCAAGTCAGCGGAGACCACGGTTCTTCAGAAGGACGCCGCCGAGAGCTCGGCCAAGCTTCATCAACACCAACTTCAACCGGGTTACAGAGGAGGCCTTCCCAGAGGACGCGTTCACGTTTGACGAAGAATGCAAGGGCAGCAAAGCAAACGCGGTGTTTAGCGTTCCCCTCGTTCTACCAGCAGTTGTCGTCCTGTCCACTGATCGCCTAGTATTGGAAGAGCGGCCGTCAGAAATTGCAAGTGTCCAAGCCAAAGGACAAAGACGATGATATGCCAAACCAAGCACCTACGGAGCCAGCAGGTTCAGCAGGTGATGCAGGCGGCACAGAGCCTTCTACCAAGGCGGAGGAGTTCAGTATCGATAGTGTCCAGAGGCTGTGGCAGCAACGGAGCCCGGGACGATGAGGGAAAGGAGAAGCTGCTCGAGTCAATCACAAACGCGCAGAAGGCCAATAAGTCTCGTACCGAGAATTATTACATTGTTGCTCCTGTTCCTCAGCAACAGCACGTTCGTCTACGCTTTACCCACTGGTGCCACTGGTGCAGTTGCAACAAGTTGTGGCGACCACCATACGCTTACGCAGCCACCACCCAGGCGGACGAGGCCAACGAAGAGGGCTCTGACACATGTCAGAGAACTTTCCGGTCGATGACTGGGTGTCCAGGGCCATCCGCATCTTCGGTGGCCGTTCATGGTTCCACAATGGGTGGTTTCATTGTCAGCGGCGGCGTTGGGCCAGGAACCCTTCTCCCTCCACGAGTGGAACGGGATGCGGTATTGAAATCTGGTGGTCAGGACCTGAATGCGACAGTCTGCCAGAAGCTAGCAGTCTCAGAGCTTGCGGTGGCATGAGCAAAGTGGTTCAGAGGCTTGCGGCGGCAATACAATCTTACACCAGCGAGACTTTCAATGGTAATGTAGATATCAGCACGCTCCAGAGTCGCGTTGTGGCCACGGCAATACATATTATTCTATTTCAGGAGACCGGACATCATAATTGGAACCTCGGGGAGCTGCACACGTTCGCAGCTGGGGCTTGGTTGGGCAGCGTTGGCTCTACCCCCACAGCGGGTCACCTTCCTGATGCTGGCTCTGCGGTGCTGGCCAGGAATTGCATTGGTCTTGCGTGGGCTCCTGAGTATTCGACGTGGGAGCTGTCCCATGTTGGACAACGCCCATCAGCTTGAACATGCACCTGCGCACGTGTCAAGGCATGAGCCGGGGCTGGCGAAAAGATGGCCAGTTTCAGTCACCCTGCGATCGTGGGCGGAGATTGGGGCATGAGCGCTGAGATCGCCGAAGAGTCTACGTTTCCGCTTCGCGTGCATCTGCAGCTCATTGTTCCACAGAGCGTGGTCTTTCGACTCCCCGCAGCGCGCTCAACCATTGATTTGTTGGCCTCAGTGGGCAGCCGTGGACTTGTTCAAGTCACCGAAGGCAGGCCTTGCGTGGCATGCCGGAACTCGTCGACCAGCGCTGCTCGACATGTTTGCTGAACGCGAGGCTCCCCAGTCTCTCGCGCACGGGGCGGCGCCTTAGATTTCTCCAGGAGCGCCCGCAGGGCCGTTCTGGCCCGAGGGGAGCTGATGCCTACAGGACAACTTAGCAGATGAATCTGTTCAACTTGCTAGGGGAACTCGCCCAAATACAGCGCGGGGGTCCAGCGCCGTCTGGCGGGGGGTCAGCTTTGTTGCGATGGCGGCAGCCCGACCCGCGCGCCGCACTGGCGCGGGGGTCAAAGATCCCCGCGTGTTCCCCCAGTTCCCACAGCCCGAATTAGCGTGCAATCATTACGAACCCGTGGGCGGTCCAGGCGTCCAAGCTCGGGCTGATGCCTGGAAGTGCCACCTGGTTATGCTGCCGCCTGTTCCCCAGCTCTGGGAAAGCCAGGTTCCGGTTGATATGGGCAAGCTCCAGGGTGAGATCCTCGCATTCCAGGCCTCTGCGTGCTCTGGGCCCGGCGTCCGTCGCCAGCTGGGTTGCAGTGTTTCGCGCGCTAGTAGCGCGGTTGCGTTTTGCTTGAATTTCCACCTTGAGGCCGCGCGTGAGCTTCTTGATGGACGGCAGGATGGCGTTGGCCTGGCGTTCCAGGAAGCAGATCCAGACAGCACAGCGAGGTGAACCGAGCGGTGTGCGCAGGCAAGTGCAGGGGGGGCTTGGCGGCTACATCGCGCCCCTGAATGCCGGCGCGGCCAGGGCCCCGCCCTTGTCAAGTCGTCGCGGGGTAGGGTCACCGCTCGCCCCCACGACGCAGTTGCAGACATGGGGGCGACTTACTCCAAGCTACGGAGAGGGCCTTCTCATGCGCCATCGGCGTGGATTCCGGGCCGCAGCTCCTGTCCTCGTCCTAATCCAGACGAGCTCCGAGCAGATGCCAAACCATTCCCATGCGCCGCGTCCGCAGGTCTCGACGGCCTGCGCCCACGGCATCTCATTCGCTAGAGTGACGAAGCACAATGTGTAATACATGCTTTGCATGGGGCAGCGGTGCCACTGGGAGTGCTATCCAAGCAATTCGCATGCACCCCCATGCCGCAGGGCGGTCGCCGCCTCGCCATCATCCGCGCATCGGTCTTCAGAGCCCGGCAAAGGCCCGGCGCTATCGTTGCGATCTGTCCTCGCAGTTTCTCGACAGGAATTGCCGGGGCGCTGGCAAGGGCAGGGGCCCCATTGATCGCGCTTTGAAGATCGCGGCGCGTGCCGAGCGAGCTCGGTGTCCAGCCGTTTCTCCACGGCGCTTCCTGCGGGCGATTCAGAGCATTGCGCCAGGAACCGACGTGGATCAGCTCAGGCGCATGTTCTACGCGTTCGGCCCCGCCGCTGTCTTGACCAAGCCCACTTACAATGCATGGAGGGCGCCGAGGTCTACTCGGTTGCATCAGCATCGCGGTCGCCATCCCTTTCGCGCGGCGCGCAGTGCCCCTGGCGCATTTGGAGCGGCTGGGGCGGCCGTCAGAATTCAAACCAGCGAGCGTGACATGTCCGCGTCCTTACGTAGGTTCTTTGACCCCCCCCCCCCCCCCGGCTACATCGACGACTCGCGCATGGGCATCGAGAGCAGCGGTGGACAGATGGCAATGGAGATGGCAGCTGAGGCCCGCGCGGGCTTTCGTTCCACCGCCCAAGATCAGGGCGCCACTGTCAACGAGGAGTCAGGCTTCATCGCGAGCTCTCGGTCGCGGACAGAGGGGGTCGCAGAGGTGTCAGGGTGCAGCGGGGGCAGCGCCAAGACATGGGCCGCCTATCTGGGCGCCGACCGCGCATGAGGGAAAATGCCGGGGACTTCCATGGTAAGGCTGAAGATGCGGTATCGCCATAGGAAGCTGATCATTCGCACGAGGGTGCTCACGGGGCATTGGGGGGCCATGCCAGAGGCCAGAGATGACAGGAATGGGCGGTGTCCTTAGAACGGGTGCTAGGCCAGCACCCCCGCGCGGCGTGGAGTTTCTGGGAGTCTCCGATCCGCGGCTGCTTCCGTTTCGACAATGTTACTTTCAGCTGATCGAACTTTGCATGGCTGGCATCCATTCTCTCATAGGTTGGCTCTAGACGCCGGCCCTGCACTACTCCCGGCCCCAGCCGCGGCCCCAGCCGCGCCTCCAGCATGTCAACGACGCAGAAGGGCCTTGCTAGCACCCTCTCAACCGAGAGCGTCCATAGTCTCACTGGCGCGAGAAAACTGTCCATAGTCTCACTGGCGCGGCAAAACCG